GTATGAAGGATCGTGGGTAACCATTGGCTGTGAATAAAGCATGTAGGTATTTTGTCTCCTCCTTTTTCCCGTCGTCGTCGCTACAGTGTGTTTGAACTCGTTGGAAGAGAGTTCTCACACAACTTCGCTTGTGACCAATAGGGTGGTTACTTCGGAATTGGAGGATGCGTCTGGTATTCGTCGCCTTACGGTACACCGTAGTTCTTATCCTCCCACTAACCGTCCTTGCAACATTCACGTCGAGGAAGGGCAATTGGCTGTTGTTCTCCTCTTCCATTGTAAATTGGATGTCGGGGAATATTGAGTTCAGCAAGACCTTGAAGTGTTGAAGGCAGAGGCGTGCTTTGGGAAAAAGGTACTTTATTGCGTGAATTTTCGACGCCGATTCTCCAGGTCGTCGTCGGACGCAGACTGAGAGTAAATGTGCTGACAACAGCTGACATCTGACAGTGCACATGAAAAATCGATAATCGTTCGGATTTGCGCCCGTGAGCGGTCGCTATTTGCGGCATTCCGTCCCGATTGGCTCTCGTCTCTTCCATTTCTCCTTGAGACTTTTGTACGCGGCGTCCAACTCGACATGACGGTTGATGCACGATTCATCCGAGTGCATGACCTCAAGGAACTCTCGGCCTTTCTTGAAGGGGCAGGCACCGACAACCCATGCTCTGTCCCAAGCAAACGTATTCACCGTGTCCAGGGTATGCACGGCTACTTGAGGCAGGTGGTCTCGCCTCTTTACTGCAAGTTGGTGTTCGTGAATGCGTGTAGAGGCGGATTTTCCTGTTTGACCACAATAAACTGCATCACTTACCTCACATGGGATTTTGCAGACGACTCCCTTTCTATCCAAATATCCGACCCTATCCTTAGGGTGTGCTATCTGAGTACGTAGTGTAGTCGTTGGTCTGTGTGCCACCAAAATTTGATGCCTCCTTAGGTGCCTTTCCACGAGTTAAGTCACGTTTTTGATATAAGGGAGGGTTCGCCATGTATTTGGCTTGGGAGTCTGACTGGAAGTTCTTTGTTCCCTTTCTGTCTCATGCATCGGCGCACATCGATGCATGACTCATCGGAGTGCATGGCTTCAAGAAACTCTCAGCCTTTTTTAGATGGGCAAACTCCGACGATGCGAGTTTTGTCCCATGCGAAGGTGTGCTCAGTATCAAGGATGTGCATGGCCATTTGAGACAGGTGGTCTCGACCCTTAGCTGTCTGTTGATGTTCGTAGATACGTATCGAGGCAGACTTTCCCGAGTGACCACAATATACGGCATTATAGCCATCGCATGCGATCTGATAGACGACTTCCTTTTTTATCAAGATAGTCAACCCTATTCCTAGGGCGTACAAGCTGAGTGCGTAGTCGTCGACTTGTGTGCCACTCCCCAAAGGAATGGAATACAAGCATTTTGATTCCAATTACTTGGACTTATTTGTAAACCTGGAATCCATTATACTAACACTAGACCTTACGAAAGATGAACGATTT